GTGCTACAGCGTCTGCCCGTGTGTCAAGCAAAATGCCTGGATGCGAAAACTCCCCCACTCCCCTCCCTGCGTGGCTGCCTCAAACACTTTCTGCACTTTCTCTCGCCAGCACGCGTGGATGTTGCGCCCCCGGGACAGCCTCGACCCCCCCCCCAAACTCCGCAGGAAACGCTGGGCGGGCGGCGTGGGAATGAGACAGAGCCTGGGAGCAGTGTGAGGGTATCCGCGAGCAGCGGCCGGCGGCGGATGGAGTATAAACCTGCGCCCATGCGAGCCTCAGCCCTCTGCCTCCACGCCCCGTCCCTTCCCGTCTGCGCCCTTTGGAGATCAGTCTCCTACCATACCGGCGTTATCTAAACAGCTTCACAAAGCAATAAAATACAGCTTAGATATCGTTCCAACATCTGGCATTAAAATACGAAGACAGAAAAAAAAATCACCACAGGACTTTGTTTTTACGACCGAATCTAAGTACTGTCAGGTTCGTTCTCTCACAAGTTAACTCCTTCCAACAGCTGGGAGCGTGGCGAGCTAACCTGGCATGTTTTCCTCACCCCTCCTTAAAAAAAAAAACCCTCAACAGTAACCCAAAGAATCAGCTTATTCAGGCTGGTTTAGTTACTTTCGTGCATTCCGTCTGCAGGGCCTTAAAGAGGGTCCCTGGCAGCAGAAACTCCAGGCCCCCTTGCCTCGGGTGTGGGGTTCCTGGGTGAGCGGTCACAGGCCCTGGAGAGCGGCCGGAGCCACGACCTCTCCAGCTCTGGCTGCTGAGTCACAAATAGCGTCCCCTGGAAATGAGATCCAGGGAGCACTCTTGCGAACTCCCTGCCAGCTGGACACGCCACACAGCTCGGGAAAGGCCGCGTTTAGCGCAGGCTACCCGGCGGGTTTTGGGTGAGTACGAACCCCACCTGCGCTCCCTCCTTCCCGGGGCGCCGGGCACCGGCCGTGGGGTGCAGGTCGGCGGACGCTGCCGGTGAAGCCGCGCCGAGAAGCGAACTAGGCTGGGTTTGCATTTCGAGCAGTTACTAGGGCAGGTAATCGGCAGAGAAAACGAAAGAAAAGCCCTCGTTAATTTGCGTACAGGACGACAGCCACTCCCTTCAGGAAACTCGGTGAATTTTAAATTGTAGTGGTTAATGATTAAACCCCCTTTAAACTCGCGAAATCAAATCATCCAGCAGAAACGTCCCGAGCAAAAATGCCACCGCCGCCACCAGCGCCTCCCGGTACGAGCCTGCTCTGAAGCAGAACTTGGAGCTACACAGCATCGCTACCCCAGCCTGGAGACTCCGGCGGGGGCTCCCGCGCCGCAGCTGTTGTCCACCCGCAACCCCGGACACATCGTGTTCCCCTCCGCGGCTCAGCCAGCAGCATCCCCCACACGTCCCCGCAATCCTCGCCATCCCCCCGCCGTCCCCCCGCCCGGAGTTCTGCCCCCGTATTTCATCACATGGCCACTAAAGGGTTAAGGATAATACCTACCAAATCTGCTGTGGTCTTGCCTGGTTCCCTGGATAGTACCATTGGGGAAGATTTCTAAATGAAATCCAGTCCTGCAGTATAGCTGCCTCCGCCTGAGGATCCCCTTTAAATGATCCAAGTCCGTGACCGCAGGGCCCCTGGGCAGCCCACCTGCCTCAGACTGACCCAGGTGGTCACTTAACAAAACCGGGCTATCCACCGGCAAAACGGGCACATTCCCAAAGGGTACTGCGTCCTGCACACCGAAATAGTTCCCAACTTCACCTAAGGGAGCCATCAGAAGATTCTGCTTTTAGAGAATAAGAATAAACAATAATGATGGTGCCAAACCCAGGAGATATAAGATTAGGTATATTCCACTCCTCTCCCCTCCCTAGCGCAGTTACAGAGAAAATGTTCTTTCTTCAATCCATTAAACGCATAAATAAAAGTAATATTCTCTTTTGACTGGTACAGGTTCAAGGTCAAACCAGTTAGTCTAAGAAACCACCACTTTATACTCACACACTGACATATTTATAAACATATAGATGTGTATATCTATATAAATGCATATATCCCCAGCTCTTAGCAAGCAATACGGTCTTCAGCCCATCCAAGTGTAATAAAAAAAAAAATCCGTAGTTTCTCCATTTGGTTTAAGATGAGAATGACCATAGCAACTTAAATACCTAGGCGTTATAGGGATTTTTTTTTTTTTTAAGATGCACAGGCTACGTCAGGATTTATGGATTCTGACTCCAGAAAGGCATGCGCTGTTTTTACTCTATAACAGACTGCATACATCAGCATGAATCCTGCAAAGGGGGAGGGGGGAAATCTCACGTTGTTGGCTGAGATAAATCCAAAAAAAAAAAAAAAAAAAAGGAAAAAAGAAAAAGGAAAAAAAAAAAACAACTTTTGACGTCCAAATCTATTATCCAGAATTCTCAGGAGGCTCAGCAGATGTCCACTGGTTTAGAATTATTGACGATCCACAAGCAAAGCAGCAACATACAAGTGCTTGTGTCTTTCTTGGCTGGCTCGGAACAGGTGTTGCTTCTGCAGGGCTCCCTCTGAAATGTTGTACTCCAGCACTGAGCTGCAGCTCTTGACTGTGGATCTCCATCCAGCACGCAGACTGGCGCAGGAAGAGGCATTGGGCTGGGTTTAAGGTAGTCCTGATTGCTGCTGGAAGGATTCTCCGAGGTCCTAGCGCTCAGCCCTACCTGCTGCAATACAGAGCCGCTTCCAGCGCCAGGCACGGCGTGGAGCGGCTCTTGCTGCTCTGCGGCAGCGCGGCGCACGCAAGCAAATAAATAAATAAGTGGGCGAAACTTTGGGGGAGGAAAAAAGCAGCGCGATGCTAAATATACCGAGCCCGCCCGCTGCGGGAAGCGGGCTCCTCGGGAGATGCCCGCATAGCCCGAGTCGCCCTTGACATTGGCGGGGGGAGCGAGGCGGGCAGCGCCCAACCAGCGGAGCCCGGCCCCGCCGCCCCGCTCTGCCCCGCCGCAGGGGAGGCAGAGGCGCGGCCGCCCCGCAGCGCGGCTCCGGCCCGCGGCTCAGGTAAACGGCTGCCGCTGTCTCAGACGGGGTTGAAACTCGGCTCCGGCCAGGCAAACCTGGGGGGCGGGTGAAGTTTGGGAGCTGGGGCAGAGGAGGGTTATCGGCCACGCCGCGGTTTTCCCCTTCTCCACTCCGGCCCGCCGCAGCCCTGCCGCTCTGCCCCTGCGCGGCCCGGGGTGTAATGCTGGAGGTGCCGCCGCGGCAGCGGGTCGCGCTAGGACCCCGCCGCCTCCGCCGCCGCCCGGGGCGCTCCGGGGGCGAACCGCGGCTCCCGGCTCTGCCCAGGGCTATAAGAGCGCAGTGGAGGGGAGAGGCGGGCGGGAGGTGTCGCGGGGTGGAGGGGAGGCGGGGGTGCCTGTGCCAAGTACGTGTTGTCCCTCCACCCCCCCTAAAAAAAGAAGTTACCGCCAAGAGAGACCCGGCGGCGGGAGGAGGGGAGAGAGGATTTTTCTTAAGATGCTGAGGATTCGTGTTACGGAGGTTTTGCTGCTTTGATATAGCTGCATTAATTAGCAAAGGGACAGAAGGGTTTCCTGCCTTTGCAGAAGGTTGCTCAAGGACCCGGCACGACGCAGAGGCTTGTGTGAAGGAGAGGACGGCTCTGGCAGCCCCTTGAGTTAAGCGCAAAACCCAAAGATAGGTTTTTTTGTGGGGTGAGGAGAGTGAGTGAGGCAGGGAGAAAAGGAGAAGAAACATAGTATCTTGGGGGCTGGAGGGAGAGATTGTATGGTGTGAATGATGATGTGCATCACTGAGGTGGTGGGGCCCAGGAAGGTCACTGGTGGAGAGAGAGCTCGGGAGGAAAATTTTGCAAGGGGTTAATTAAAAATAATTGACTCTCTGCATGTCCTCCTGCTCAGTGGGCACGAGGCACAGGGGGCAGCTCTCCTCCCTTTCCCCACAACAAAAAAAGGCAGCTCAGGTCTGACTGGTGCAGCCTTTCTGCATCCCCCCCCCCCAGTTGCCATTGTGACTTTACGCTTGGGAGGGGGGGAAAGAGACTTCTAGTTTCCATGTCTAGTGGGGAAACTGCAGCAGGGAAAGGCTGCATCCTGAACCCCCACAGACCTTTCAAGAACTGACACAGTCCATGTCAGTGGTGCATGAACCACCTCCCTTTCATTTGACTCCATCAGTCTTTGCTGCTTTTTGAAGGATGGGATGGAGAAGCTTCAGAGCAGAGTCCCATTGTGGTAGTTCTGTACAAACCCACAGAAAGAAACAGTTGCTGCATGTCAGTCCATCCATTTTGATGTGTAAGAGCAGACAAGCCTCCAACAGAAAGGAGGAAAGCCAGTGTTCTCTGGTTCCATAGCATTTACCCTGTATATTGGGTTTAAGGACACTGCTCTTGCACACACACTGCTTATATCAGCATGAACATCTGCAGAATGACTTGGGAAAAACTGCAGAACTCACCATGTCAAAAATCATTATTCTTTATCAGCTGGATCCTGGCAGTACCCAGAGGCCCCATTCAGGGCTCACAGTCCTATTGTGTCGGATACTGTAGACAAATGTAATAAGAGAGATGGTCTATGCCCAAAGAGCTTATGATCTTAACCCATGATGAAAGACAACAGGTGTATACCACAGACCCATGGGGGAAGGATAAGGGGAAAAGCAGCCTTGAGAATAAAAAGCAACAGGCCTGGCCAATGACAAGTGTTTGGTGTCAGAAAGAAGTTTTAAGGAGATTTGAAGGAGAACAATAAAGTAGCTGTATGGTTATTAATGGGAAGAGTTTTTTCCATGCGTTAATTTGGCTAACTTGGAAAAGAACATAAAATTGCTTGCTAGGCACTTGGATTGCTGAAAATTGAAGGTTTGTGCCACTGGCAAAATAGAAGGTATATAGCAAAGTGACTGAAAGGCCTGCTATCTGGTGTGCTCTTGGTCCAGAAACAACTGGGAAAGAGGCTCCCAATTCCTTTTCAGTGCTTTAAAATTTACATTTCTAGTCCCAGTGAAAAGTATTATATGGAATTTTATTTTTCGTTCTAGTGCAGGCTTCAGTATTTTGCATCTTGTACTTCCCAGCAACATACCTTATGAAAAATACCTGAAGGTGAAGAAGAAAGTATTGGTACAGTTGCCTTTTTTTTTTTTAAAGATACTTAAAGCCCACAGATTATTTGCTATAGGAACTGTAGTGTTATAGAAGTGTTATCTAAGTTAAGGCTTTGATGTCTGAACTACTCATAAGTATCAAAGCCACACATGAATTATGCAGGACATCCCCAAAATTATACCCATCTGTGAGTAGGTGGTGTTCCAATCCTGCTTCACATAAAATCTATGTGTGATGTGTAATGTCAAACTTACCCGTTGCACAAGTCTGGCATTACTGATAGCTGGGGCTTCATTAAAAACCTACACTTTTATCCCCAAGACACTGAGGCAGGAACATCCCTACTCCTTGCTCCCCTCCACTCGAGATTCACACCCACTTCCCTTATACCCTCCTGGAATCAAAGGCTGCATCTGCCCCAGTGAGTCACCAAGAGCTTACTCATCAGTTTATGCAGGATTTTAACTCCTGCAAGCAGAGCTGGGTCAGGAGGAGCCTGCATTTCTTGGGGAGTTCCTGGCACACGTGCTCCTCACATGTTCCGCACTAGAGTGACACCTCTGGCAAGGCTTAGAGATTATGACTTTTTTCTTTCTTTCTTTTTTGTAAACACTGATTCATCTGTACTGTGTCGACCAGTTCAGCTCTACAGGAACTTTTCACATATTGATTTTTGAATGTCATTTAAAAAAAATAAATCAGCCTGCTATAAGAAATGTTTGGGGGGCATATTGGTTGTTGGGTTTGGGTTTTTTTCATTCCTCCATGCTGTGTGATTTCACCAAAGTGCCTAACTCATTTATTTCCCAGCCTCACAGATGCAGAACTGGAAGACTTACATTACTGAAAAGACAGGTGCTGTGACTTTCCCCTGACACACGTGGCATTTGCCACTTTTACTAAGATGCTGAGTCATCAAACTTTTAAAAGCTTTTTAATAAATTGACAATAATATAGAAAGTGATGCTATTTACAGTTTTCTTTAAAAATAAGATCTTTTAGGGTACTTTGAAGCATAATTTAAAGCTGGGTACAATAACTATTAATTCATCTTGCCTCACTTAAGGCTGTGGCAGTGGAGACATCAAGATCTAAACTACTTGTTCTTTAACACAGAAAAATAGGACCAATTTTAGGGCACAAATCATCTGACCTATTCTGTGCGCCTACTTTAGGATGACGTGACTCATGCTCTGAAGATGCTTAATTCTCCCTCGTGTATGAAGGGAGCCTATATTAGATATAGACTTTTACATGACAGAGGTCTAGATAGGACTGGATGGATCCCACCTGCTGCACTATACATGTGATTCAGCATTTCCCCAGAATGGCTGCTGAGAGCACAAAACTATTAATATAGTTGCACAAATTAATCGTCCAAGGAAAATTCATGTCATCTCAGCAATGAAAAGGTACTGAAAGCCATGATTATGAAACATGATATTGCCTGGAAGTAAATAAAATGTTTGTGAAAACCTGTAGCCACGTGACTCAGACTAACTGGATTAATGTAAGAAGTGCCTACAAGTTCAGAAAACTTGAGCTAGAGAAATGCATTTTCTTTCTCACTTCAAAAACTGTTGAAAAATCAGCAGTATTTATGACAAAAAAAAAAAAAATTACCTGTAAGAATCCCAGAAGACAACATAAAAGGGCCTGTTTCCCCCATCACCAAATGTTCAGGCCAGAGGAGTGTAAAACAGGCAGTTTGAATGGAAACCTCCAAGAAAATGCCATCATCAGTGTCACCACGTGATACACAGCCACAGTAGGGTATCTGACCTGGATTTCTTAGGGCATTAGTGTGTTTTGCCACATACAGAAACTGGTGAATCTACATTAAATAAGTGTTAGCAGATCTTTCTGACCATCCTAGGGAGGAAGTTATCAGATTACATGTGTTAAGATATCTTAATTTAAGTATAGAATTAATAATGCCATTATTGATCAGATAGTGAAGTGCATCGACACAGATGTTGATACAGTCTTTTGAAATGCGGGTCCTTGGTGGTGGCACTTGGAGGTAGACAGGGTGATGTAAGTGTGAAAGCTGCCAAATGTTTAAAATTTCTCCAATGCCTGTATCTGAGATGGCTTGTATCTGCATTTTAGTAATGAATAGATAATCCATGATGTTGCAAGTCCCTCCTGCTCAAGAGCCAAAGTACCATTTGGAAGGAGAAAAGGGGAAAAGATCAGAGTTGCCATGTGTGTAGGTGACCACAGAGGCCTCCGCGTGGCAAATGATTCGTGTATCTCAGCTCACAGAGCTGCTCACTGTGAGAACAACTCTGCCCCTGCTTACCCCTTGCCTTGTGCACTTTTCTTGCGCAAGCACAGTGTCTCATCAAAGAGGTTTCTTTCTTCATGCTCCCATACTGCTGGTGCTCATTTGCGACTGCAGGCTCGGCAGGGTTTGCCAGCAAGCTGCAGGGTGCTCCTGAGAGGCTTCCTTTGCCTGACAGACTTCCTTTGTAGATAGTTCACCAGTTGAAAGAGGAGGTGACATTCATATACCAACCAAGGCATACCCAGAACATCTGCTGGATGCTACTTACCCATGCCAGCAACCAGCTGGTGTCACCTCCCTGGGGGCAAGGAGAAAATGCCTCCTGGTGCTTGCCCAGCTCAGCAGGAGCCGGGTGCGTGCCTCGCTTACCACTCTGCATGCACTGCAGCAGATGCAGCATTCTGGTGTGCCTTTGCTCCGATGGAGAAGGTGACTATGCCAGCTCCATGATGGCTTCATGCCTGCTTTCTGGAATGGTCGAAGGCCTCACTAGCTTTCCCGATGGAAGTGATTACCTCTTCATCTAGGGCACCATAGCCATACAGGTCATCTCCTGCTGGAAATGCTGGTCACCAGACCCCAGGTGAAGGCCTCGGGGCCCCTGGCCGTCGCCGCCTCCAGAAGGCACGCCCGCGGAGGCTCCCGCTCCCCAGGTCCGCTCAGGCCGCCTGTAGCTGCCACCCCAGGGCGGGTCCCCGCCGGAACCCCGGGGCAGGAGTGGGACCTAGCACTGCGGGGCAGGGGCAGCGCCCCGCCGCGCTTGTGCGGGGCTCTCTTGCCCTCTAGCGGGCAAAGCCAGCGGGGCGGCCCCGCCGCCGCATGGCGGGAGCGATCCCCGAGCTCCCGAACAGGGGACGGCCCAGCCACCCTACTGCGGCTAGCGGGCGGACAGGGGCAGGAGGCCGGGGCCGAGCCAGCGCTGGGCGTGCTGCGTGTGGTGGGCATCCTGGCGGGGAGCAGAGCAAAAGGAGTGCCACACGCAGAGCGCCCTTCCAGGATACCGCCACCACCAGTCCGCCAGCAGTGCGGAGAGGGACACTGCGCCACGGCCCCAACAAGCAGCACGAAGGCCTGATAAGCAAGACCATGATGGAGCAGTCGGAGGCACCACTGGTCTTTAATGGGCGTGATCCCCTCAGCTGGTCATGGTGGCTGACAATGTCCCTGTTGTGCAGTGCTGGCCAAGGAACAGATGGGCTATGCACCCCCAGCTGCTAGGCAGATATTGCATGCCTGCTACTGGTGATGACAACGGTGCTTCAGGCATGGACTGCCCACACAGGAACCTGAAGCCAGCTCTGCAGTGAGCCCACGGCCGAGTGGGGACAGAAATGGAGCTGGAGGCTGTGCTTGGGGAAGAGAGGACATCCATGCTTGTGTAGGGTACTCTGGCACACCATAGGAAGACCAGTTCTCAAATTGTCTAGTCTGTGTTTACTAAAAATTCTCCTTTTTTACTAATGCATTTGAAAATATTTCAGTTTCACTATCTCCATCATCTTCTCATATCCAAAACAGTAAAAACTTGGTCTTTTCCTACATTATTTAAAATGTATTATCTCCATCTAATGAAACATCTTATACCATCACTAGAAATGCTTTCTTTACAAGTATATTTTAGGAAATTTGCATTTCATTATAAACCTGTAGTGTCTTTCTACTGTAGTCTTCAGCTTCAATCTATCACTTTCCCCATTTTGTAAATCAATTTTATATTTCTGTTATCTCCCCATTTAAAAAATTATTTTCAGTACTATATACTGGATTTTTGCTCTGATTGGTGGTGTAACCACTGAACCACAGTGGGCTTAAAAGTTATCCTTGTTATGACATACAGCTTGTTATCCATCTAACAGAATTCAGAATTTGTTTTCTTCCTCTCTAAAGCTTTTCTCCTCTCACTCTCATTTATAATTTCCCATTCTTTGGGAATTGCTGACACCTCTGGAGTGACCTTCCCCTCTTGTTGGGGTTCCCTGAAGTAGGGTAGTGATGAGAAAGTCCTGTTTGCCAGTAGTGAATGTAATCAGGTCATTTGGAATGCAGTCACTTGGAAGCCTCCACTCTCTGCTACAGTTATTATAATCCTTTGTAATATTTTGCATGCCTATGTCCATTTTGTTCATTTAAACGCTACCCAATTACTTTGTTGATAACATATTTTGCATAGTTTTGCCTTTTGATTTCCTTAATCATTCTGCTGCTATTCCACCAATAACTCAACAGTATGTAACTGCACTCTGATTCAGTGATGTGCAGGGGCAGAAAATAATATAACTGTATTCTTCAAATAATTACCTTAGGTAAGTACTAATGTTTTCCTTGTGACTGACCAAATCAAAAGCATCTCTGACTAGAATCACGGCTTCTTCCTTCTGAACTTCCTGCTTTTACAGTAAGACAGTATGGAGAGGAAAGGGGCTGCTCTGGAGAAGTCAGTAGCTGTGGGGAGCTGAGGGAGTGTAAGATTACTAAGCCATTCCCCATAGAGGACTGCCATTTTATGTTTAAGTTATTTATGAATAAGTTTCTAAAGGAACCAGGCAAAAGTGTGAGAATGAATGCTTCACATTTGGACAGAGTGGAAGGTCATGGAAAATGCACGCCATATTTTTGGTTTGAGAGAGTGTCTGACCTGTTTGATTCTCCAGTTAATATAAGGATATAAGAACACAGTTATAGCAGACTGGGACACAGCTATGATACTTTTATGATACCTTTATGATACCTTTATGATAGCTGCAGTGGGAAGCACCATCTAGCGAACACATCTGTTCCTGGCCACTTTGTGCAGTCTGATCCCCTCATTCCCATCCAGTAACCACAACCACTGGAAGAGGGATATTAGAAGGTACTGCCCTGCATATGCATACTTTGTTAATATGCTTATAGACCTGGTGCCCCTGAATTTGCTTAACCCTGCTTTGACCCTGCCTCCACAGTCTCCTATGACAACAAATTGTGGGAGTTCATTACTCTCTGTATAAAAATGAACTTTCTTCTATCAGTTTCACACCAATCTCCTATTAGCTTCATTGGAAACATCCTAATCCTTCTGCTGTTGAATAACAGATGAGCAACAGTTACTCATTCACTTGATACACTCCATTAATGATTTTGTAAACCTTACTCTTTGCTCTCAGACTTCTCTCCAAACTGAAGTCTCGATATACGTAGCCTCTCATCAGGCACCCAGCAGGTGCAAAAGTCTTATTTTCTCCTTGAGGAGACAATAATTATTATACACATTTCAAACATTACCGGAAACTTAGGCAATATCAACCTGAACTAAAGGATGATAGAAAATGGGCTTAATGAATGGGTTTATGCAGTGTGTTATGTGCAGCTCACATGAGGCAGGTTATCAAAATTATTTCAGACAGAAGAATCCCAGGGGCATGCTTTTATTTGCTGTCAGGCCAGTTCTCCAGGAACTGATCAAGGAACCTACGTTTTGTGTACAGTATGTCAAATGTGTTGTAGAACCAATCAATGCTAAATTCATTCATACCTGCAATGTGACCATCACCACAGATACAGCAAGCAGTGGACCGTTCATATAATGGATCTTGTAGCGTACCAGAGAGGTATCCAGGTGTTGACCATTATATAGCTCTCGTGAACACAGTTTTAACCATGGAGACTGCATCACAAGCTTATCTCGTCTTGATCCCTTGTCTAACTGTGCTAATGCTGTGTGCAACTAAAATGTTTGACCCTAGTACAAAATCAAATGATAATTAAGACATTAACATGGAGGAGTGTTGATGCTCAGACATCACAAGCCATTAAATGATGTTGGTTAGACTTTTTATGCTTGATGGTATTCACTCTTTCCTCAGTGGTCAGACTGTAGTCCTAACATTGTCAACTCTTAGTGAATTACTACATTGGCAAGGTGAAGGTGGAGAGAAGGTTCTGCACTGTACAAATTGACATCAGTGTAATCTGTTCACATGCTGTCCTGAGGCATGAAAAGCATTTTATATATTATCCCATATGCTGGTGAAGAACTGAAAATGCCTATGACCTAGGAACTACTAAGGTGTTTCAGATAAGGAGTTTTTCTCCTCCAGATCTCTGTCATGCACAGCTGCAAACTATGTTTGAAGTTACACAGGGATTTAACCAATTGTAACAGTAGTCTCTTCTAGGTTTCAAATATGTGAAAAAAATAGGCTTTCAAGAAAAGGAAGAAAAAAACAACAGCAGTTCTGAGCTACTACCCAGCCCTCAGCATGATTCTCCCTCCCACTCTGTGGCTCTCAAGGCACTGCTTTTGTGAGGGCCACCAATACACTTCTGAGTATCAGGCTGTATCTTTATTGGCATACCTCTCTATGGAGAAGCTGAACAGAAAAGAGTCTCTACTCCTCTCCTACCCTTCATTTCTCAGAAAAATATGACAAGATGAAAAGCTCTTTACTGACAGGAGTTTGCTTCTCTGCCTTCATAGCTGCTCTTGATAAAAAACAGCTTTCCCAACCTGTTGTTTAGAGATTTCATCAAAGTCTGTAAACCTGAAATCCACAGTGGGGATTTCCAGTACCCCCGCCCCCCTCAGCAGCTGTTATTCCAAGAGATCTTAGAAATTCACCAGAGGGTCTGAAAAACACATCAGCGCTGGGAATCCACAACTAGCTTTTCAGAAATAGATGTCTGAACTGCTTTGCTTTTTCTAGGCATTGCAGTGAAATCACTGACAAGCAACGGGGGAAGAAACTGTTCAGGAGGCTCCTGTGCTTCCTCCGCTTTAAACACTGCTCTAGATTTGAGAAGGAGAATTACATTTACTGTCAGGGATTCTCAGGGACTGGCTTTATAGCACAACCAAGCACTGAGAACTCACTTCTGCAGATACAGACAAACTGGCTCTGACTACCTTGCCCTTACTGCAGTAGCACTGCAGCCAACAGAACTACACATGCACAAGTTGAGACATCAGACAGACCTCTAGTATTAGCGATCCTGCTTTTTTAAATGGGGGACAGGCTTGTGAAGAAACACATGGCAAAACTGAAGGAAAATTATCTTGCCAAGTCTCACGCTATGCTATTTGTATAAATCTTGATATGAACAAGCAGAAGGAATTTGTTTGAACTTTCTGGAATTCATAGCTTGTATTCTTGTAATTATCTGCTTGTTTCAGCTCTGTATCTGGGACCTGGTTCTGCTGCCCTGCTGAGAGTTGCTAAGTAGAGCTCTGACATACAGAGTCTGTAAGCTTGCCTCCTTCTTTAGAGTACATGTTTTCCGGTTGTGTCTTCCAGTGAAGTAATGGTGACAACTCTGCAAACCCAGTTCCTCAAAGAAAAAAACGGAGCAGATTCTCAGCTCAAGTAAACTGCCACAACACGACCCCATTGCTGGAGCTCTGGCAATTGATATGAGCAGAAGATAAGCATGCATTTGGGTCTTTTTTTCTCTCATGTAAAAAAACCCCAAACCTAAAACAAACCCTTACAGTTAGTTCTTCATTGCAAATCCTCAGAATTTGTGGGCCATTCTTGGCTGCAGCTTCCATAGCGATGGAAAACTGTGGAAATCACTATCATGGATAGTTAACAAAAAAGCCCAGGTACACCAAGCACAGGGAAATGAGTACAATTTCTGAGAACTGCTTAAACATTTAGAGAGTCACTCACTGAATTTCTGGAAAGACTGTTTGCAGCCCAGCTGCTCAAAATACTTGACTCTCAGATGTGTAAGTGTGAGGACTAAGTCCTTACTAAATGTTTTTGAATTATCCTCTCTGGAGACTTGCCTGTCACTAAGTTTTTCTGGGATGCAGATTTTGGTCCAGTAGTTCCCATATTTTATTTACATTTTGAGTCATATGCTGCTTTCATAATTTTTTGTCTAGTCATTTTAAACATCTATGTAAAGTATTCAGACAAGAAGAGTGAATCTTGTAGCTATTATTATATTTGCAATTTCCCTTGGGTGTAAGCAAAGTCTATATAATGCAGAGTCTATCAAATATTTCAAATGTACTGCATTCCAAAGCTATTAAAAAGTTAAGGCATTACAGTTGTCTATTAACAGTGAGAATGAAGCTTATTTCATAGCATTCCTGAAAGGTAAAAAAAAATCTAAGACACACAAATGCCACACTTGAAAAATAACAGCATACTGGTAATATACTTGAAAAGAGTTGGTCATTTATAAGGATGTTTTATAAGTGGAGTCTCTCTCTTCAGGAACAGAGAATCAAATAACTTCCATTACTAAAATGATTTGAAATTATGCTTTTTATAAGGCCAAGTATTAAAAAAAAACCAAACAACAAACCAGAGCCTAAATTAAGACTGAAAGGCTAAGATTCTCAGAACTGCACTTTGATGTCTCTTTTTGGGCAATTAAATTCAAAAACTCCACAGATGCCTCATATGAGGGCTCAGTAAGTGAACTTCAGAAAGTACATATGGAAAATTAGGTCCATTTAGATCTCTTAATGGAATCATAGAATCATTTCAGTTGGAAAAGACCTTTAAGATCATCAAGTCCAACTATTAACTCAGCACTGCCAAGCCCACCACTAAACCATGTCCCTAAGTGCACCACATCTATATATCTTTTAAATACTTCCAGGAATGGTGACTCACCCACTTCCATGGGCAGACTGTTCCAATGCTTGACAGCCCTTCTGGGGAAGAAATGTTTCCTAATATCGAGTCTAAACTTCCCCTGGCGCAACCTGAGGCCATTTCTTCTTGTCCTATTGTTTGTTGGTTGGAAGAAAAGACCACACTCACCTCACTACAACCTTCTTTCAGGTAGTTGTGGAGAGTGATAAGGTCTCCCCTGAGCATTCTCCAGGCTAAACACCTGCAGTTCCCTCAGCCACTCCTCAGCAGACTTGTGCTCCAGGCCCTTCACAGGCTTTGTTGCCTTTCTCCAGCACTCCAATGTCTCCCTTGTAGTGAGGGGCCCAAAACTGAATACAGTATTCAAGGTGCAGCCTCACCAGTGCTGAGTACAGGGGGACAATTACTGTACTAGTCCTGCTGGCCACATTACTGCCAATACAAGGCAGGATGCTATTGGCCTTCTTGGCCACATCAGCACATTGCTGGCTCATATTCAGTTGGTTGTTGACCAGCACTCCCAGGTCCTTTTCCACCTCTGTGCAGTGTTTTATGTGGTTGTTGTGACTCTTCAATGTCTTTAACTATTTACTTACTTATGTCCTAAGTAAGGGTAAGGATTTCAGTGCCTGATTTTAAGCTCCCACTGTTTTAATTTCCTGGCTTCATCTTTCCATAGGGATATGACACTTTCATTGATCTATGGCATTTTTTTTAACATGCGAAAATTTAAAATACTTGCTTTACATCACTTCATACCTCCTTAGCTCTTCTGAAAATGACATCACCCAAATCTAAATCATGAAAGGCTTCCTATTTCATAGGATATACAGTTATGATCTTTGCTTTAGAGTATTTGGGTAGTCACTGGGGTAGCCCTGCCAGGTTATGGAGAGCAGACGTGAGCTGCCAAGAAGGCTGGTAAGCATGGTACTTTATTCATGGTACCTTTTTATTCACATGATTCTTCTTAAGCAAAGTGAGAAGAAAAGCTGGTTCAGACAAGACAGCAGCAAACCTGTATGCAATATACAACACAAGAGAAGGAACATTAGTTTAATACTAAATTCTGCCTGTATCTGGCCTTCCAGCCTGACCTTACTAGCAATTCCCTTCAAGAGTAGTCCTTAGATAAACTACTTCTGAGTAAAGGTTGTAAAATGACAATTTTTTTTTTTGTATCTTTTGAACAGCATTTAAGCATAGAGATCACAGTCTTTACTCCTTCCCCTGTTAAACACAGAGATCACAGTCTGCCTCCTTCCCCCTCACTTTAGGTGGGGAGCATGGGCATAAAGTTTACAGCTATTGTGTGTTCCAGGATTCTTCCTCACTGGGGTTGAATGTGGGTTCTTTGACCCTCAGGACTTCAGCCACTCTTGGCTGACTGCAAGTTCAAATCCTACGTCTGTCCACTGGACAAATATTAGGCAGCAACTTCAAACTTTCTGAGGTAAGCTTCACATAAGTGGCTTCAGTTGTAACTGCTCAATGGTAAAGAACTGCATGAGCTTAAACAGTCTTACTCCAAGAGGGAATACAAACAGCTCAGCTCAAGGTCAGTTACGCCTAGATCATGACAAAACAGGAATCCACAATGAGCTAGAGAGGAGCTGTTCATGACACTACGCTCTTTGAATATACTGAAAAATGCAGGCTAGTCCCTGCTAGTCCTAATGCTTGTATTTAGAACGTATGTAACTGCTGAAAATTAATATCCTCTAGGATGCATTTACGAAGACTGTTCCAGCTTCGCTAAGGACCAGACTGGGTATCTACTGACATAAAACAAGGGAAAAGCTAAAATTCCTATCTCAGGAGAGATACATGTCCCAGTCCACAAAACGAACCATCAGTTTAGACTTACAGGCAAGGATTTCTTTCACATTGCAGAATGCTGTCTCATGCTTTTCTGAGGACATCTGTTCCGAGTCACTACAGCCTAGTTGGTTACCATCAGATCCAGCATTTCAATAGTACTAACTGCTGCCGTATGGCAGTTACTGTTGAGTCTGCAGAAATTAATCCAGTCTTTTTTTGCTGACAGCATAAGCCATGAGATTGCAATGTTACGTGAGCTGTTTTCACATTTTGTCTTCTGGGTCTTGTTTTTTATGTCTAATTTCTTATAATTATTGAAAGGCTCTACCCGTCTGTGCTTCTTTACCTTTTCAGGGAGGTGCAGTCAATGCCATTCAGTCATCTTTGATTTCATCTCCAGTTCTGCTCTCAGTATGGAGCTATCTCATCAGCTCCACATTACATCACAGCCTTGCCTTTCATCTTACTTATGCTTTGGTGTAGATGTCTGATGACTGGAGCAAGAAATACTCATTCATGAATGGAGTTTTCAAGCTCTTAATCACTCAGTATTTACAGCAGAAATTCTAGCATTTTGCCCTTAACAATAATGCGAGTAACTTTGCACTGGGTATTACATTATTTCATGTTGTTCGTAGCCTTCTAGTGAAAGCTCATTTAGTTCTTCTTGTGTAACAATCTGATCCTCTTCCATTTTTCTTACCAAATTCATCATCCTCAAAAGATGAGATTCCTCAAAGAATTATGTGTGTAAAACAGAGACTAAAAGAACATGTCATTCTAGAGCAAAACCCTGTTATCTTCATGCCAGCTATGGCCCCTGTGCCATAACCTCTTTGTCTAAGCTACTTTCAGCACCAAGGGCTCTGCATTGCAGCATACACATCTTCTGAAATGTCAGAAGGAGTTAATTTATCATCCTTCTACTCCCCTTCCTGATGTGAACATTCTCAGCTGTGGAGGGTTAGAGCTACAGCAGAGCCAGCTGAACAGTTGACTTATTCTGTCCTGCCGATGATGTGCCACATCCATACAGAGACAATCCCCTTTGCACAAAGAGCTTGGTAGGAATGCTCAAATCTCAAGCGCTTTCTTCAATTAAGCTTTTCAAAATCAAGCAAAATTTCACAGGCCTTTTGAATTTCCTTTTTTCTATTTGTGTGACCATTATTCTCAGTATTTGCTAGGTGGTAACGTACCTTCAAGAAAGGAATATTTTCTGATATCCTGGTTCTCTGGAATACTGCTTTTTTGCTCTTGTTTAACCCCTTTGCCAGTTTTAGTATAGCCAACATGCTTTAACAGCCGATGAATCAAAGAGAACCACAACTTCAGATATTAAATATCTGAAAGTCAGTACAAGTACTTGGGAAAAACAAAAACTCTGCTTAAAGTGTGTACACAAAAGATGGCAGCAGCTTTCAGAATTAAAAATCTCTACAGTACAAATGCAAGTAATGTGATCCCAAAATAAAAGGCTGCCTTAATATACATCTGTAAATAAAATATGATCTGTGCTACAGACTTGGTTAAGAGGGTTGGGGGACCAAGACTGAGAGCAGACTAATGTCAGCACCAGGAAAAGATTGCTTTTTGTTGGTTTGGGGATTTTTTTTGTTGGGGTTTTTGTTTGTTGTTTTTTTTTTGTTCATTGGTTTGGCCTTTTATTGAGCTCCTTCTGACATGAAAACCTTGATTCAGAACCTTTCAAGCACAAACCTCACCCAGCATCTGGTATGCAATGCACAGAGGCAAGTGCTTCCATATTCAGATAATCAACAGCAGTTACTTCTCTAGCAGCAATTTAGAGATTTGTTGGTAGAACTGCAGTCACGGAAAAATCTAAAAAGGGGACACTCCTTCCCCTCAACTGAAGCTTTGGGCTAAAATTCTAGTCCCCATTTCAGCTTTCACAACATGTAAATGATACAGAGAAAGACAAACAGAATTCCTTTTCCTTCTCTTATCATCATAACACTCTTGATCACAACATTATTAGTCATTTTTCAGGCTGCTAATTCAAAGTCCACTGGCAGTTCCATTCTTTCCTCTTCAAGTACATTTTAATGGTATCTCATCTGAAATTCAAGCCTGGTAAACATAATAAATTTGATTGTAACTTAATATTCCCTACTTATAAAATCAGCTTTTCAGAAAGAGTGCTGAATCTAAAGGAGAAAAAGTTGCAAATGATACCTGACAGCTTTAATGCTCTTATAACCACATTAACAAAAGATGCTGTGATTCATCATATATAAAGTTTTGTGAAAAAAAAATTGGGTGAGCTGAGAAAATAATGCTAACAGCTTTGCAGAACTACTTACAATTTAAAATAATCTGGGTGGCAGGGAAAATATGCGTGATTCTGAAGACTACAAAGTGTTCCAAAGTATGTAAAATTTTCTCTTGAAGAATCTGTTTTTGTGTAAAACAACAGCAGTAATTTCTACTTTCATAACTGCCAAGGTAATATCAAGTATGGAGAAACCAGGCAAGATACCTTCTCTAAGTAAACATCTTACCATTTCCCTGATTTGCTAGCATGAAAGATGTGGCTGACAGCAAACCCATACTTTGTGTCCATAAACTTAACACATAATATTATTACCTACGTGACAATTGGGTGGTGTATTGTAGGTATCAATCTTATAACTCCAGGATTCATAGGAGAAGGCAGGGCATTATGACTTTAATGACACAGTAAAGGACTCAGATAAACCAGTGGAAATGTAAAGTGCAAATAATGGCATTCTTGTCTTTTGGCCGAGAACTCAATCACCTGAACCAAACTGTATGACTTCTGTTTATGGGTGTCCTGGAATTACTTACAGCGGATCTAGGGGGAGCAACTTTTTATTTATGCCATTTTGATAGAAACCTTAAGATAAACAAAATTCCAACAAACAATCAAACAAAACCCAACTGTATCTGGCAACAACAACAACAAACAAAACCCAACAAACGCAAACCAAACTAATACTATAATCTTCATACTTCAAGATTTAATATAAGAAATGAAACTAAGGGCTAGACTATCATCCAGAATCTTCTCTTTTCATTTTCATTAGGGAAGAAATCTTTAAAGATCAATGTCAAATCATTTGCACAGCTATGTACAGGTTTCATCAAATCACAGAAATTTAGGGCTAGAGGGATCTCAAGAGATCATTTTCTGAAACTACAACACCGGGGCAGAATGAAATATGTAAAGAAGAGTCCAACAGATTGTTACCAGATTTGTCCAGAAGAAAATTTCCCATTAAGGATATTCTGCAGCCCTTCCACATAGCTTGTTCCACTGCTTCCCTACATTCATAATGAGAAAGCTTTTTCTAACCTGGAAATTAAGCTGATTCTCCTTGCTTTTCCCTAAATGGCCAATCAAGAACTACTGATCACTATACTTAGAAAAGTCTTTTCCATACTGGAAGATGTCAGCACTTCCCTCCTCTATTTTCTGCTGTCTAGACTAAACTAAATTGCAGTTTTTCTTCATGTCACTGTTGCACTTCACTGAACTCACTTCTATTTATTTGTATTTTTAAAAGTTTTATGTCTCAATTTGGATACAGTAAACTAGTTCAGGTTTCTGGAAAGCATCTCACCCAAGATTCCTTTCCTACAAAAGGTTTTGGGTTTGGTTTTTTGGGGGTTTTTGGTTTTTTTTTTTTTTGGTGGGGATTTTTTTTTGTCTTGCTTTTGTGTGATTCCTCCTTCATCAGCACAAGAACCTGTTGCACTTGTTGATTTTAAGCCATGTCTGCAACTTGGGAGGATCATTTTACCATTCTGATCCTTTTTTTCCTATTTTGAACTTATTCCATCTTGACATAAATTTTGAAATTTATAAGCATATAGTCTAGTCACTTATCTCATCACATTGAAGAGAACTGTCCCAAATTCCTAAAGCCTACATGAAAAAAGTCTGCATGATACCCATAATATCAATTACATGTGGGCATCCAAATTAGCCAGGTATGGGGTATGCTGGCTAATGAACAAACTTACAGCTTTGAAAAAAGTAATTTACTAAAGGAAATGCTTACTAATTAAAATGTTCAACATAATCCTTAAGAGGCAATTGCAGCCTAGTGGTTTTTTTAATGTTACTGTGTAATCTGGCATTTTGCTAGTTTGGGGTCAAAACATGGTTCAAGTTATGACTAAGGATAACACAGTTTTCACGGAAAGGAGAAAACTTTATGGACTCTAAAACCACTTCTGCAGGGAATTCACTATTTGTTCTGGGTAAGCTATTTCTAAGGCTAGGGTATAAAGATGATTAGTAAAGCAGGTTAAGTTTTAGACTATCAAGTGTACATAGAAGTACAAAAGGTGAGTTCTGGACTGAAGTCCAGAATAGTTTTGCCAGATTAAAACTTTAATCTTAAAATCTTAGAGATTGTCTCAGAACCTTAGGGAATCTTAACTTGTGTCGTTTAACTATAAGGGACTTTTAACTTGTTTTATTTAGATACAAAGGAACTAGAATAAGGTGCACTAAATAAGGCATAAAGTTAACGGTAGAGATGCCCACCATTCTTTAGCCATAATTTTGTTACACCTTCTTGTTACTCGCTTTTATTGGACCATAGTTTGTTCTGTTTCTTCAGAATGCAAATTGCAGCAAATTAGAACCCATGGACTTACAGTTAGGAAAATTTTAAAATTATATGTAAAGTGGCTGTAAGGCAGTGGCTAAGCAGTAGTGTAAGACAGACACAGATATCCTTGGACTTAAAATCAAATGTGGAACCCAAAAGTTCAGTAATGCAGAATTTTTTTTTTTTAATTTGCAATAACCAACTGGAAACCATCCAAATAATGCAGCATTTGCAGAAAATGTTACAAATAACTTTTGCCTTCAACAATTATCTCCAGGTCTGTCACTGCCTTGCTTTAAGATGTTAGACAAATAATTTTAGCCTATGGCATTTCATGGTACCCAAAGAAGGCAATCAACCTCTATTGGTCCTCCACAGATGCTGTAAGACCTAGTCCTTAATGAGGTACATTAACCCTTCAGAGCAGTAGAGTCTCCTGCAGGGACTCTGGTACCTCATCAACTACCGGTGCTAGCTGAATTTCTGGTGATCAGCAATTAAAGCTAGCTGATGAATACACACAGTATCACTTAGACTAAAATGGAGCTTATATAAAAAGACATTAAGGATCTGAGTAGACTGAAAGGAGAGAGACACAGATTGCATGGGCGTTAAGTCATTTAGATCCCACCTTGTAACAACAACTGCTAACCTATAATTTATTCAATACAATAATGCAATACTTATTCCTCAGACTTGCCTTCCACTTCATCCATCCTGGTCTGTTAAGATGAGCGGGCTCTTTTGGGTGCCAGGATGTTATCAGGCATAACAGACAGCAGTCATGGGTAGATCTGGGGAAAGATCACACCATTCACAATCTCTGGTTTCCAGCAGGTTACCTATAGGCTCTGCTGGTGGTCCTCAGTCCTCCACTGCTGCCACAGCTTTCCAAAGCTTCTCAGGGCTTACAGTGTGAGAGACTCCAAACTGACCTTTGGTCCTCTGAGTCAAACAAACAGCTTGCTCTCATCAGTTGCTCCCTTCTTACTCTTAAAGCCCCACCCAGCTAAGCATAACGACAAGTAGACAGGTAGACTCTGGAACACTGGGCCATCTACCTTTGTGAGCGATCTCTGCAGCAGATAGGAGTGACATCTGAACTGACAGAGGATATGTGTATTTTTCATCCAAGTCAACACACGAAGGAGATGCAAATTCCAGCCTTCCCAAATACGGATGTTCATAAGCCTAGTAACAACCTAGTACTTAGGTGGAGAGGACATCACTTCTCCCATGCAGCAGCAATAAGACATTCTTTCCTCAGTGGCACACTGAAGTAACACATCCATGCTTCCACTTGTGGCACCCCATGATGAAACTGTGTCTGACTATCTCCTTTGTTGTCAATTCTGACAGCATAGTGCGTATGTACCCAGCAAGTTTGATATCCAGATCTGCAGGAGTTCCTTTTCCAGAATCTCTGCAACAGCCATAAGCAGTAAATAAAAGCAGCTTACAGTGTAGATATTTACAGCTGAGCTAAAATCGTTTCAGTTCCTCTTACAGCCAAAAGACTGAAATGGGTATTTCTTTGGCTGAGATTCATCTAAGCCACTTTGAACATTTATCTCAGGGTAAGACAAATCATGACAGAGATGCATACTTCTCCCTGTTGACTATAATGAGAGCATAAGGCAATTAATTCAGGTGCAGACACCCATATGTAGACATTTATGTGTAGCTGGAAGAATCTTAGCCTGTCTTACATACCTTTGCCTTTCTACACAAACCTTTGTTACACATGGTTTAGTCTCACCATGTGTAACACTGAGTCCCCTTTCCTCAGGAATTAAGTCCTAGATCCTGACTGATACTTGTAGGGGTACATCTTTTGCGCTGCATGAAAGGGAGAATGCTCAAGGACCAGAACCAGCACCACATGGGTGCCCTGGCTGTGCTGTGGGCTCCTCCGACTAAATCTCTCGATTACAGACCAGATACAGACAGGCTATACCTAAGCTGCAGGAACACAAGACCCATAAACACTTCAAATGCCATATGAACGG